ATTATATTTTATTGTATTTACTTGCACTAGTATCTGTGTTATTGTGTTGCTCTGTTGGAGGAGCCTGTGCCCTCAGATTTTCATTGACATAACTCTGTAGCTACTAATGATGATAACAGCCTTGCATCTTTGTTTATAATATGTTTCTTAATGTCTTTCATTTCTGTAAAGCACTTTGAATTGCCTTGTGTTGAAATGTGCTATATAAATAAACGTGCCTTGCCTTTACCAGGCTGCTGATATGCAGACAGCCATGGAGTAGGGGACATTGAATGCATCTCCAGAGTGACATTGAATGCATCTCCAGAGGGACATTGAATGCATCTCCAGAGTGACATTGAATGCATCTCCAGAGTGACATTGAATGCATCTCCAGAGTGACATTGAATGCATCTCCAGAGTGACATTGAATGCATCTCCAGAGGGACATTGAATGCATCTCCAGAGGGACATTGAATGCATCTCCAGAGTGACATTGAATGCATCTCCAGAGGGACATTGAATGCATCTCCAGAGTGACATTGAATGCATCTCCAGAGTGACATTGAATGCATCTCCAGAGTGACATTGAATGCATCTCCAGAGTGACATTGAATGCCTGCCAGAGTGACATTGAATGCATCTCCAGAGTGACATTGAATGCATCTCCAGAGTGATATTGAATGCATCTCCAGAGTGACATTGAATGCATCTCCAGAGTGACATTGAATGCATCTCCAGAGTGATATTGAATGCATCTCCAGAGTGACATTGAATGCATCTCCAGAGTGATATTGAATGCCTGCCAGAGTGTTGCATCCTGCTGAGGATGTCTTGCACCATCTGTGCTGTTGCTGGAGTGTCAGTGTTCTGTTGAGCTCTGCTCCATAAATCCCTCCTGTGTTATCACTGATTAAAGAGTCAGTGGAGAGGGGGGGGGGCTGAAGGGGGTCATTGTGTCCGGGTCAGCAGGCCTTTGGACATCACATGTGCAGAGAGAGGGTCAGTGGACCAATCTAAACAATAAATACTTTTACTTTTGGTACTTTAACTATATTTTGATGATAATACTTTTCTACTTTTACTTGAGTAACATTTTGAATGCAGGACTTTTACTGTAACAGAGTATTCCTACACTCTGGTACTTCTACTTTTACTCAAGTACAAGATCTGAGTACTTCTACTTTTACTCAAGTACAAGATCTGAGTACTTCTACTTTTACTCAAGTACAAGATCTGAGTACTTCTACTTTTACTCAAGTACAAGATCTAAGTACTTCTACTTTTACTCAAGTACAAGATCTGAGTACTTCTACTTTTACTCAAGAACAAGATCTGAGTACTTCTACTTTTACTCAAGTACAAGATCTGAGTACTTCTACTTTTACTCAAGTACAAGATCTGAGTACTTCTACTTTTACTCAGGTACAAGATCTGAGTACTTCTACTTTTACTCAAGTACAAGACCTGAGTACTTCTACTTTTACTCAAGTACAAGACGTGCGACTGTCGCTTCAGATTCTGGTGTTGTGATGAACTGACAGCCTGAGGCTCTGACGCTGAACTGACTGACGAACACATATTGTTTATTTCCCCAGGCTATAGACGTGATATTACTTCAGCGTTGTTAACATGGGGACGCTCTCTTTATACGACCATGATGCTTCCACACAGAGCTACATTAATGTGGAAGTGGTTCGATCTAAAGTGGATGGGAAAACGATAGACTCTTGATCATAAGTCAATGCTAAGAAGAAGAGAGCCGACATGAAGCTGCAGTCATGTGACCTCCATCAGCCCTCAGTCAGAGAGAGATCCACAGAGAAGGACTGAGTGAGGAGGAAGATGGAATCTGTGGCTCTTCTGAGGGATCAGTCTGATTCCACAGATGGAGAGCTGAACGTCTCAGGACTAAAACAGAGCTGAGTCACGCAGCTTTACACACAGTGTGCACAAAGGGAATGTCCCCAGATATTCTGATAACAAATGAATTATCTCGACCAGCGGTTCCCAACCTGTGGGCCCAAGGCATTGCAAGTGGGCCGCCAAATAATTAGCAAAACATTATGATTTGTGTGGGACCATTTTCATTATTAAGATTTTCTTTTTATTTGAACCTCCTTTCTTTTCTCTTTCTTGATCCTCCTTGGCATTATAGTCATTATGTCATTACAAGCCTTGACAGCCGTACTCCTGGATTAACAACGTGTCACATGTTCTGAATTGACCAATCAGAGCTTTATTTAGCCTCCATATTGTTTGAATGTGGGCCGCGAACAGATTCTTAAGTGGGCCTGAGTGGAAAAAGGTTGAACCGCTGATCTAGACACTAGATTATCGACATTACAGAGCGCTGACTTGTTAAATGTAAAAAGGACGTGCTGAACTATGGATTTGTCATTTCTTCCTGATAATACTACATTGTGAAAATAACTAATAAAGGATTTCTGAACAAAGCTGGGTTAAACTCAGCAGGACGAGCGCTATAGTTACCACATTCCTGCTGGACTAATATCCAAGCTAGCAGCTAACGCTATCAGAGGTAGCATTAAGTTGCAGGGTTTTGTCTGCACCGGGTAACAGGAGCGCTGTGCCCTCTAACCAAAATGCAGATTTTCCCTGTAAAATGTTAAAGTGATGCCAGAAAAGAACATTTCTGTTCCTCAAAAACAGTATAATTACTCCAGAAATATGAGTATCAAACAGAGCGTCAGACGGCAGAGACAGCTTTGTTTTTACGGAGCTCCGACGTCACGTTGTTTACGTCCGCGGAGACATCTTGTTTACGAGCGTCATGTTCTCAGATAATTGATATATCTTATAAACAAGATCAGCGCCACAGTATCACCTCATACTATATCTTCCCTGTTGCATAATGACGCTCTCAAGCTTCATTAAAGAAAGTGTTGTTAGGCAAAGGTAAATGATGACATTATCATAATGTGTTCAGTGTGGCAAGCAGGTTGAATACACACTTAAAAGGGATGTTTTCAATAAAGCGTATTAAAAAAAAGGACGTTTTCAAAGCAATGTGATATTAATATTGAAGTGGTATGGATCAACTTTTCAAAAATAGCTCTAAGCTTCTTATAAAACAAGATACATATTTGTTTTGACTGAGGTATTGAGGGTTTTCAACAGAATTGTTTTATTTTCCTGTATCGTAACATCTCCAGTGTTTCCCACAGAAATTGATTCTATTTGTGGGAAACACTGATCTCTAAATGTAGATTCCCCTTGCTGTCTGTTTAACAAAGAAAATGTCCTTGTTATGTAAGGCATTGGATAATAAAGTTATATAATCTTAAAATTGCTTCTATTCTTGCACCAAAAAGCATTCGTCCCAACGACTCCCAGCTTGAACCCTGAGGCTCTGTGCTGTTCATCCTGACACAGCGTTAGCACGTTAGCCTTACAGACGCAGCATATGGATGCTAACACGTTGCAGTCTGGCTCCCCAGGTTCCTCTGGGGATAACAAAGCCCCAACAGCTCATTGCAAATATCTGGGATATCTTTATTAGAAGATCCACCTCCCTCGGCACATTACACTCACTGTTACCAGCACGACAGCTAACATAGGTGTGTATCAAAATAAAAAACAAACAATCGACACCTACTTTGACTTATTGTTGTTTTTTAGACCATAACCAAGAAAAAAAGTGCCATTCTGAAGACAAATGTGGGTTAAAAATCTGATTTACTTACTTACTTTAAAGTATTGTATTGTTTTATGAAGTCTTAACATACTTCTGCGACGAAAGAATTTCCCAAATTGGGATCAATAAAGTATCTATCTATCTATCTATCCATCCATCTATCTCTCTATCTATCTATATCTCTATATCTCTCCATCTATCTGAAGGCTGCAGGGACGGCATGCTGCTCAGGAAACACCAACAACACCATTTATTTATTTTGCATTTCATGTTAACCTGACAGTGTCCTTGAGAAAAACCCACCAGGATGGTATCTGAACCTCACCTCCATGTGGGAAGGGAAACACTATTATGATCAATATGACCTCCAATTATCAATATCTCTCTGTTAAAGCACTTCTCCAGTCCTATACAGTGACTGCACTTCAGACACAGGCTGAAGAATGCACTAATGGCAGACATGTTGTATGAAAACAATGGCAGAGCAGAGATAGGGATCAGTGTTTCCTCTGAAGGGGCTGAACCTCTTCTGAAACAGCGCGGAGGAGGCTAAACCCACTGCCTCCATTATCGGACGGAGGCATCCTTCAGTGCTATTCATCTGCTAATATACCAAACAATACCAAAGGGCCGAACCACAGTATGGGTACTAGTTTATTACGCATTTGGTTTTGATTTTAAAGCAACAGTAGCTGTCAATCTGTAGTCATTTCAAAGACAGTTTCCACACATCCAAAAGGGCGCATCCCCCCTTTAACACAACGCTGCATGGCTCATGGTGTTTTACTGACCCCCATCTTTATAAGTGGGCTTCCCTACAGTACTGAGGGAAACAGGGAGAAGGTCAAGGTAAAAAAAAAAACACAAAGCGTTAGCTGACACAACGCTGTCCGACTATGGAACCAGGGGAGAGGAAAGAGGGTGGGTGACTCGGAGTTTTTTTTGGGAAAATCCGCAAAATCGCCCCCAACAAGAACACAAATGATATGTAACATGAAACACAAAAACGTTAGTTTGTGTGTGTTATTCCTAGTCTTCTGTCAAACACAAATACTGCACCATGGGAACATATATAAAGGGTTAAATCTGTTTCGACCTAGCATAAATAAACAGTGTCCGATAATGGATCGGACGTTAACTAGCCGCTAAAGCTAACCGCAGCTAGTTAGCAACCATGCAGAGCTACGGTTGCCAGGGAAAACCGTTAAAAACCGTTAGACGTTTTCAAAGGGAAAACCGTTAAACGCCGTTAGTGGATATGGAGTAAAGGCCACAGAAATACAGGAATACACAGCCGGACAATGTGAGCTATCATGGAGCTTCCCCACAGCAACACAACGACACAAAACAGAGCTCAACTCACCCGAAATAAAACGGACAAGCGACCAGATGTTGCTGAAAAACTACCGATTCACACCCATGAGGAGGACTCCTGTCCGGGGGGGCATCCAGGTTTAAGATCCCAAAACGAGGCTTTGCTTTGACTGCTGTCCGTACTCCGGCTGCATATGTGTGTATGTTTACGTGTGTGTATCTATCTCTGTGTGTGAGCGTGTGTGTGTGTGTGTGTGTATGAAGTCTACGAGGCCTGCTGCTGCTGCTGGAGGAAATGGGATCCGCTCAGTGAATGGGACGCGCATGCGCAGAGGGGAGTAGAACAGCCACGGGGCTAGCAGTGTGTGAGCGCGACCACGTGGTCAACAGGTGAGGCGTCACCTGGTGGAGGACTAGTTACTGATGGAGGACTAGTTACTGATGGAGGACTAGTTACTGATGGATGACTAGTTGGAGGACTAGTTACTGATGGAGGACTAGTTACTGAGGGAGGACTAGTTACTGATGGAGGACTAGTTACTGAGGGAGGACTAGTTACTGATGGAGGACTAGTTACTGAGGGAGGACTAGTTACTGATGGAGGACTAGTTACTGAGGGAGGACTAGTTACTGATGGAGGACTAGTTACTGAGGGAGGACTTGTTATTAACTGAGGACTAGTTACTGATACAGGACTAGTTACTGAGGGAGGACTAGTTACTGATGGACTAGTTACTGATCAAGGACTAATTACTGACTGATGACTAGTTACTGATGGTTAATGGAGGACTAGTTACTGATGGACTAGTTACTGATCAAGGACTAGTTACTGATGGAGGACTAGTTACTGACTGAGGAATAGTTACTGATGGAGGACTAGTTACTGACTGAGGAATAGTTACTGATGGAGGACTAGTTACTGATGGACTAGTTACTGATAGAGGACTAGTTACTGATAGAGGACTAGTTACTGATGGAGGACTAGTTACTGATAGAGGACTAGTTACTGAGGGGGGACTAGTTACTGATGGAGGACTAGTTACTGAGGGAGGACTTGTTACTGATGGACTAGTTACTGATCAAGGACTAATTACTGACTGATGACTAGTTATTGATGGTTAATGGAGGACTAGTTACTGATACAGGACTAGTTACTGACTGAGGAATAGTGACTGATAGAGGACTAGTTACTGATGGAGGACTAGTTACTGATGGAGGACTAGTTACTGACTGAGGACTAGTTACTGATGGAGGACTAGTTACTGACTGAGGAATAGTTACTGATGGAGGACTAGTTACTGATGGACTAGTTACTGATAGAGGACTAGTTACTGATAGAGGACTAGTTACTGATGGAGGACTAGTTACTGATAGAGGACTAGTTACTGAGGGGGGACTAGTTACTGATGGAGGACTAGTTACTGAGGGAGGACTTGTTACTGATGGACTAGTTACTGATCAAGGACTAATTACTGACTGATGACTAGTTATTGATGGTTAATGGAGGACTAGTTACTGATACAGGACTAGTTACTGACTGAGGAATAGTGACTGATAGAGGACTAGTTACTGATGGAGGACTAGTTACTGATGGAGGACTAGTTACTGACTGAGGACTAGTTACTGATGGAGGACTAGTTACTGACTGATGACTAGTTACTGAGGGAGGACTAGTTACTGGAGGACTTACTGAGGGAGGACTAGTTACTGATGGACTAGTTACTGATGGAGGACTAGTTACTGATGGACTAGTTACTGATAGAGGACTAGTTACTGATGGAGGACTAGTTACTGATAGAGGACTAGTTACTGATGGAGGACTAGTTACTGATAGAGGACTAGTTACTGATATAGGACTAGTTACTGATGGAGGACTAGTTACTGATGGAGGACTAGTTACTGAGGGCGGACTAGTTACTGATAGAGGACTAGTTACTGAGGGAGGACTAGTTACTGATGGAGGACTAGTTACTGAGGGAGGACTTGTTACTGATGGACTAGTTACTGATCAAGGACTAATTACTGACTGATGACTAGTTACTGATGGTTAATGGAGGACTAGTTACTGATACAGGACTAGTTACTGACTGAGGAATAGTGACTGATAGGACTAGTTACTGATGGAGGACTAGTTACTGATGGAGGACTAGTTACTGACTGAGGACTAGTTACTGATGGAGGACTAGTTACTGACTGATGACTAGTTACTGAGGGAGGACTAGTTACTGGAGGACTTACTGAGGGAGGACTAGTTACTGATGGACTAGTTACTGATGGACTAGTTACTGAGGGCGGACTAGTTACTGATAGAGGACTAGTTACTGATGGAGGACTAGTTACTGATAGAGGACTAGTTACTGATGGAGGACTAGTTACTGATGGATGGATCTTCAGTATAAGATAGAGTGGATTTGTGTGATTGATACCGACATAATTTTACATATTTTAACAAGTCTTACCACACTGGTCCCTATGACAACCAGGTGCCAGGTGTATGATTCTACTTTTGCACCATTATACTATAGACAATACTTTATTCGCTGCTGAACCAATTCAAAGAATAATCAGAAATCATGTCTCATGTAACTCTTTCAAAAGTCGTAAAGACATTGGATTTTACGAGTCGTTTTTTCCTTACATTGCATATTAAAAAAAAAAAAAACACAACAAATGTATGTATTTATATAGTTTACAGAATGCATGTTACATTAGGAAAGTAATGAAAATGTATATTAAACCTTACACTGGTACTACCAGGCAATGTATTCAAGGCAAGGTCTATTTTGTGTTTGTTTCATTTCAAATGGCGATCAGAAATATCATCAATCTAACTTACCTTCCTGAAAAAGCACAGTACAGTGTTCCCTTTTAACTCAATGGAGTTATATACACATTTTAAATGGAAATACTTAAATACAGTGTCTCAATAACCTTGACTCAGATCATACAGTTTATAGTGTTTGCATTTATTTTATTCTTTCCTCTGCATATAGTGTCATCGAAGCATCTGCATCTCCTCAGAATATCAACGGGACTTTTTTTACAGCCCTAAATACTAGAAATGCGAGGCCACCACTTTACACAAAATATACAATTCAGCCCTTTCATTAAACTCAATTCAGAGGCTGCTGATTGGTGAAGAGCATTACAATAATACTCAGAGTGCGAACGTTAATACTTCACCCACAACTTGTATATACATTGTTCACCCCGTGTCACCTTGAATTTGTAGAGAAAACGTTATTTTAACTGGCACATCTCCACGTTGAATGATCATTAAACAACTGGGAAAAGTCTTGACGAATTGAAGTAAAGATACGGTATGAAACTCACACAAATCATGGAGTATAATCTCATCAATGTACTGGTATACTCTTCAAATAAAGTTTACAAACACATGCAGTTTCTCTCTATTTAACACACACACACCGAAGAGTAGCTCAAGCTGTCAGTGTTAATGCAGAAGTGTTTTAAATAGAAAGGTTTTAGGGAAAATTCATGAATGAGTGCGGTACGTGGGATTTGTTTTTCAATCATTCAAAGTAGCACAAGGTGAAAAGCTGATACCAAATCGATAAGTTATTTACTTTTCCATACCAAAAACACTGCCTTCTTTAAAGTAAAGTATTCCTTATCAATCAGACATTTATAAAATCACAACTCTGAGGTTTTAAATTGAAGTGCTGTATTTTTGCTGGTTGAAAAAACAAAACGCTTTTAAAGAAGATACCAGCGTCATTTCAGAAGAGCGTAGCTGCCACTGACGATAAGGCTTTCTCCCTTTATCAGTAATGTGTTCTGCTCTGAGGTTTAACACAAGATGACCACGAGAGACAAAGTGGTTCTCTGATGTGTCAAAGGAAAATGTTTAATGATAAATAATTAGGTTTCTTCACAACGAACTAGCTATAATCCCCAGAGATGAAGTTGCTCCGTGGAATGTGTGCTTAAAAAAAAACACGTTTTAATCGTCGAGACTTTGAAGATTAATCCCCAGGCGAGCCCCCTAACACTTTTAATTTCAGTAGAAAGATGTGCCATAAATGCAAATATAAAGTCAAACCATTGTTCCTGAGACGTGTCCCAAAAATAAATACAAATATACATCCCCCCCCCTCTCAGTGAAAAACGTGCTACATCATCACAACACCACCCGTTTAAGCGAGTACAAAATGGCATTACATCAAAATAACAAAACATGGATGTCGGGTTTGTGTTGGCAGTCGTGCAAAAGGTCACGGGGTCAGGATCACAATCTGAATTAGGAAACAGGAAGTGTGTCTCAGGGTCAGAGGTCACAGACAGACTCGCAGTGGTCAGCATTTTGTAAACATGTCCACCTCGTCTCAGAGCCCTTATCACAACACGGAGACGGACAGGAAGCCGCTTTCTTTTGCAAAAACAAGAGGGTCCGCACGCAACGAAACCCCGGGAGTTTCCATCATGTGGTGTTGTTGCTCTTAGGCTATTGCTACATATATTTAGAGGTACCTTTAAACCAAAGTGATGTCAATGTGCTCGGAAAACATTGACTTTCATTTGATGTATTATGTCAACAAATGTCTCATAACTGCAGTAGGTTAGTTATTAAGTGGACCCTAATACAGTTATGTCACATCTGTGGACATCAAACATTCAATTCAAGTCAACGTTTCAGTTTTTCCAGAGCACATTTTTATGCCGTGTGCAGAGGAATGACAAATTTGCATCCGAAGGGCGAGTGGTAGCTGATTCCCACTTCCTGGAACACCCTCTTTGGGATGCCGACGTCACAGAGGTAGACCTTGCTCTCCGTCTGCTCCACATCCAGAGGGAGGCCCAGGAACAGGGTCCACTTTGCCTCCACGCTCTGAGGCACGGTGCCCACCGCCGGGTCGATGCTCAGCACCGGAGCTCGGTTCTGATTGGCCCAGAGAGCGGCTGACTGGTACCAGGACTGCTCTCTCAGCAGGGGGTTCTCATGGTGGTCCAGGCAGTTTATGACCAGATCCACTGGGGTCTGAGGCAGGTCTGAGGAGAGGGAAAGAGACGCCAGAACGTATTTATTTGTACTGTAACGAGGACTTATCTTATGTCGTTGTATAGGATCTGTCTAATAACTGAGCCAAGAGGCATTCTGGAAAACACTTTTTGACGGAGAGGATAAAGAGACGCCAGAATGTATTTATTTGTCCTGTAACGAGGACATTCACGGTGTTACAACAGCAGAAGTATAGTGCACACGTTATTAAGTAGCAGTATATACAGCATATGTATCAAGTAATACATCAGGGTTGCCAACTTTGGGTACCTGGCTGGAGTGAGATTTTGATATCATGGGTTTCATTCGGTTTAATTACACATATGCGCACAAAATGACTGCTATCGTGTTAGCATATAGGATATATATACAATATATACAAATACACAATAATGGACACAGACTATAAAGGGCACACAGTTTCATTCACTAATGAAAGTCAAACATGTTTGTTTCCACTGTTTTATTGTGTGCCTGTCGCGATAAACAATTAATTGACTTATCGTACGATAAATAAAAATGAACTCGATAACTTTTCTGACCTCGATAAATTGCCATTTACATGAGGATGTGACTAGCAGTTTGAAAGGATGTACTTGAATTATTATTATATATTATCATTGTGTCAGTGGTCTAAAATGGTCATACAACGGTGCCGACAATATTATCGTTTATCGCAATAATTTCCGGGAAAATGTATCCAACAAAATTAATTATCGTGAGAGGCCTATACATGAAACACACACACAAACAAATCTACAGACTTACTCCAAACTGCCAAATATATTAATTAACACACTCTCACTCTCATATACTCTTTGACTCTATTTTGGCCAAGTAGAACAATAAGCAGCAGACTTTTACTTTTTTATCATTTCTACTGGATTTTAGATCTGCGCATGCGCAATACGGGTCGGCAGTTGCGGCTCCAGAGTATTTTTGTTGCGTAATCCATGGTAGGGCTAACCCATACAGTGATGGGGCTCAAGTCAGTATTTGCAATGTAATTACATACACGCTCCCCCCGACAGTGAAACGCCACGCGTGAGGTTTAGATGATTTCCCTCTCTCAATCCAAATTGAACTGTATGAAATAAAAAGGCACATTCGTCTTGTAGTAAATAAAAAGGGCGACCTGGAGCCAATCCTGCAATTTCCCCACAGGTGAAAGAGTTGACCTGCTGAAAACCCAACCCCTGCAGGGGGTCTGGGGGGATTCTCCCCCAGGAGATTTTTTTAAATACTAACATAAAATATACATTCTGGTACTCTCTTGAGAAGAAAAATAAATAAATCTATTACTACACGACATGTTTAAAAAAAATGAATGCCATTTTAGTTTTTTGTTACTTTGTTCTGAAAGCTGAACCTGCTGCTCCTCACAGAGAGAAGAGGGAAGAGGCTGTGTGAATTACTTTACATTGTGGATAAGGGTGGATAGCCCCCATTGTTCTGTGTGTCAAAATGAAAGACAGCCCACACACCTATCAATCATCAAACCGTGGGGTCTTATTTCATTACGTGTTGATTTCAATCAACACGTAATGTTGTATCGATGTATAGAGATGTACTACCGCAAAAGTATTCTCCGTCGGGACTTCCTGCAACAACACCACGCCGTTATCGTGATTCTGATTGGCCAGAAGACATTATCAAAGATGTTCTATTGAGAAGACGATCACTACGTGACAAAAGTTTTCAAAACCGTTTCTAGTCTTCGGTATTCTTGCTTTTGGCGTGAGAATAGTTTGGGCAGCGTGAGAGCGTGAGATTGAGAGTGAAAGCGTGTGTCACACGCCAGATGCGTGAGAGTTGGCAACCCTGATACATGATGTTGCATGGGATCTGTCTAATAACTGAACCAGGAGACATTCTGGAAACACTTTGTTTAGAGTAGGGTTGTTTCAATGGCAGGCCTAATATTTGGCAAACCTTTAAAAGCCACTGACCCAACAGTTTACAGAAAGGACGAGGAACAAGAGAGGTGTGCTTTTTATTTGTCTATGGTTTATTTCCTGTTCCCTAACCTTTCCTCACGCTGCCAACCATTGGAGATGTGAGTGGAGGAGGCAAAGAAGAGACATGATGTAGGCGGAGCTGAAGGGGAGGCAGCATAAGAAAAGCACCTGGCAGGTAAATCCTCTCCTCTGTTCAGCCAGTTAGACATTTTGAGGCGCTTTAAGTTCTCTATGGCGACTAAAGCATCATTAAAGCAGTCCAACACCCCCCAAGGGCCAGCAATATTCTTGCCTCAACACTTTTATTTGTGTGACATGAACGTGTTTTCATTTACTCACGGCTTGTCTGCTTTTGAAGTTGTTCTTACTTGTGTTTAATAAGCCAAAGATAACAAAGACTTGTTCTTTCTAAAGGGATTTGCAATGTGTTGAGGTGTACGTCCACTAGAGGGCGACGTTTGCATTGAATTCACAACTGGTTTAGGGAAATGTCATGATGCCAAACTTGTATCTGCCTCTTGCTCAGGTCCAGGTGTACAATGTTGAGAGTAAAGGTTGCACATGTTTCATCTGATCATTTGTATGTTACTCATATCAGTTCTTCTATGGTAATAGTTTAAACTCTGTGTTGCTGCGATTCCTGGCCAAGTTTACCTGGAGAGACTTTAAATGGACCAACCGCTCTTACATCTAAAGACTACATTTAAAAAACATTCCACACACCCATCAGGATCTGCTCCATCCGTGTCACTTCAGTGTGTGTGTGTGTGTGTGTGTGTGTGTGTGTGTGTGTGTGTGTGTGTGTGTGTGTGTGTGTGTGTGAGTGGGAGTTTGTGTGAGTTGGAGTGTGTGTGAGTGTGTGTGTGTGTACCAAATGACTTCCTCGAATGTCTTCTTTTGTTTAAAACTAAATTATATGTGGTTCAGGGGTAAAGAAACCAGGTCTTTTTCACAATAAAAACACAAAACACTGAGAATCTTTGAGATTTTGTCGTCAGAAATGACCTAAAACAATTAATAAATGTTAAAAAATATTAATAAATGAACAGTAAACAACTATAATCGTTGTAAACTCATCCTAATGTCTCATTACGGTCTGTTTAAGGACAGCAGGGGTTTTGATTCAACCCTTAAATGGATGTTTATTGAAAGTTATTAGTTCAGATCTCTGAGGCCTCTGGTGTAAAGGAGTGTGAGTGTGAGTGTGAGTGTGAGTGTGTGTGTGTGTGTGTGTGTGTGTCACCTCTGCTGCTGGCCACCTGCTGTACAGCGTCACTTCTCACACACTCCTGCATTGTGTGTGTGTGTGTGTGTATGTATGTATGTATGTATGTATGTATGTATGTATGTATGTATGTATGCGTGTGTGTGTGTGTGTGTGTGTGTGTGTGTGTGTGTGTGTGTGTGTGTGTGTGTGTGTGTGTGTGTGTGTGTGTCACCTCTGCTGCTGGCCACCTGCTGGCTGCTGCTCCGGCTGTACAGCGTCACCTCTCTGCTCACACACTCCTGCATCTTGAGGCAGTTTGGCAGGAAGAGGACCGTCTCCACCTGGTGGTTGGCCAGGTGTCGTCCACAGCTGACGCCCTGCGCCCCCTGCAGGTGAGGCCCGCACAGGAGCACCACCACGGGCCGCTGGTGGCCGTTCTTAGGGGTCAGTCTGGGGACATAACAGGGAAGAGATGAACTCCAGAGAGAAACCAGTGTGGAGTTTGTAAATTAGACAATATGTCCTCTTACCCCAGAGAGAACGTGCAACCAAGTGAATCAAAAACCCATCAATGAACACATGATGTCGCATTGGATCTGTCTAATAACTGAACCAGGAGACAATCTGGTTACATAGGGTTCATATTTGGCAAACCTTAAAAGCACTTTTTACAGTGGAGTCAAGGGAGTCTATTTACGAGGACAAAGAGAGGTTCTCTGGGGCGACTGAAACATTATTAAAGAAGTCCAACGATGGTCCAAGTGCCATGAATATTCTTGCCTCAGAACGTATAACCAGTGTGTGCAAACTATACAATATGTCCTCATGAGACGTGTTGAAAGGCATCAGGGAGTCCTTTATCCTGCCAGTAAACATAGCATGTGTCTATTCTAAACCAGCGACTTACACTAGGACTTCATCACAACAATAAGAACACATTATGAAATCACAGTTACACTTTCCTGGCTCGTCATTTGGTACCAAACAGAACAGGAACACAACTAGTCTCTAATGGCGCGTTTCCACTACACAGCCTCGCTCGGTATGGCTAGGCCTCGTTAGGACTGGCTCACTTTATGGCGCATTTCCATTACAGTTTAGGAACTGGGGTAGTATCTATAGTAACGCAGTGTAGGCGGAGCCGTGACGTGATCTTCAGAGAACCCCAGAAAAACAACACAGCCGTTAGCTGTTAGCACTCAGAGCTCACAGCTCCTCATATATGTTCAGAAACTAGACAAAAGTTAAACAAGTACAAACCACAGACTGCCTGTGTCATGGAGAATACAGTCGCTGCTTTATTTATGTCTGTATAGGCCGTTGTTGTGAGTGTGGACGGTCGGAGCATATACTGCGTTAGCTTAGCCAATCTCCATTTAGAAAACACGCATTTTAAAAGGTTTTTCGCCTGCCGTCTGTCTGCAGACTTGACAAAGCATTAATTCATGGTTTTTACTAACCGGTATCAGTATGTTGTTACTTCGGCATCATTTTGAAACGTGTATTACAATTAAATCACGGTCAAATATGTCCATCTTGTTGTAGTTGTAGCCCCCTTGCCAGCGATGCTCTCTCTAGTTTAGCATACTCAGCCCGACTCAGCCTCGTTGTCTCTGGCCCTAGACCCATGATTTTATGAGGCCAGAAAAACTGTGAATTAGGACCCGCCGGCCGGTACTAGGCCAAGTGGAAACGCAACCAAAGACGGGCTGCTGACGTCACAGCCCTCTTAAACCGTGCTCCGCGCTGTAGTGGAAACGCGCCATTAGAGCTTCTTTAAAACACATCTGTTCAACAAGTCCTCTGTAGTTTTGCAAGTTGGTCCAATTTGTGAACTCAGTTTGTATTATTGTTCACGTTAGGATAAATGACCCGAAATCTGTATATAAGCCTGCAATAAGATGTACTAAAAGTCAAAGAAAAGGGCATAACAACAGTTAATGATGATAAATAACAAAATAAAAGACAATAACTAACAAATATAATAATTAAAATAGATATAAAAAAAAACAGCATCAAGCCATAAAAAAAAGCCATGTTCACCATCTGTTCACTGCCCCAGCTTTACAATGATCCATTAGTTGTTTTTATTACTGGACGTGCAAGCAAGGAAATATGGAAAGGTGTTTTTTCTGAGCACACTTTGAGTATGAAGAGCAGGAGTTGTCTGCAGGGGATAGAGAACACTGAACAACCATTATATTGTGTGTAATAACAATACACATCACACCTGATCTGAGAACAGTAGTTCCAGAGTGAACTTGAGACTCGCATGGAGCTAAATGGATGAAAGGATCTGAGACAGTAAACCAGTTTGATATTTGATCCTCAGCGTTCCTGTTCTTTGATCTTAAATCAGACTTCAGCTCAAACAGCTCAATCATAGTTTCTTTCACCTGCACTATTAGTTTTGTACACAATATCTGTTTTCTTACTGCCGAATTGTATTCAATATTTTATTCCTTTCTATTTCTATGTACATACTGCTATATTTGTTATTATTTCTAATATTTGTTATTGTTATTTTTGATGTATGCAGCATGACACCAAGTCAAATGTCAACCTACCTGGTGATAAACCTGTTTCTGATTATTATTCAAATGTATCGTACTCTGTTCATTTGCACAATTTTTTATTATTATTGTTATTATTTTGTTGTCTTATGTCCTTTTTCTTAATATGTTGGAGACACACATGGAGCTGAATTGATCAAAAGAAAGTAAACCAGTTTGATATTTGATCCTCAGCGAACAAATATAATAATTAAAATGAATAATAAAACGGCATTAAGCCATCAACAGAGTCCATATATTGATGATTGACCAGTAAGACTGGATCCAAAACATTTCATAAATAGATGTTTATGGTGTGATCTTTCTACCATTCACAATAACTAAGCATGCAAATCAAACCTTGAATTAGTTGAAAGGATCTGAGACAGTAAACCAGTTTGATATTTGATCCTCAGCGTCCTGTTCTCTGATCTTCAGAGCAGCCAAACAACACGCAGCAGATCTCACATGTTTTCAACTTCTGCACAGCTTTTGTGAGAAAACAGGCCCTGGGCGTGTGTGAGGTGAACATCGTGTAACGTGTGTAGAAACACGGTCGTAAAGACGATTGCCATGGAAACAGGGAAACATGACATGTCAACAAAAAGTAGGACATACCAGCTGTAATGATTATATAACTGCTCACACAGGGATCGTTTGGCACCTGGATGCACATTCTTCAGATTAAAATGAATGACAGTGAAGCCATGTGTTCCAGTATCAGACTAGCTTCAGTCACAATTCAATTACAGTGAAGCCATGTGTTCCAGTATCAGACTAGCTTCAGTCACAATTCAATTACAGTGAAGCCATGTGTTCCAGTATCAGACTAGCTTCAGTCACAATTCAATTAGTGAAGCTATGTGTTCCAGTATCAGACTAGCTTCAGTCACAATTCAATTAGTGAAGCCATGTGTTCCAGTATCAGACTAGCTTCAATCACAATTCAATTAGTGAAGCTATGTGTTCCAGTATCAGACTAGCTTCAGTCACAATTCAATTAGTGAAGCCATGTGTTCCAGTATCAGACTAGCTTCAGTCACAATTCAATTAGTGAAGCCATGTGTTCCAGTATCAGACTAGCTTCAGTCACAATTCAATTACAGTGAAGCCATGTGTTCCAGTATCAGACTAGCTTCAGTCACAATTCAATTACAGTGAAGCTATGTGTTCCAGTATCAGACTAGCTTCAGTCACAATTCAATTACAGTGAAGCCATGTGTTCCAGTATCAGACTAGCTTCAGTCACAATTCAACTACAGTGAAGCCATGTGTTCCAGTATCAGACTAGCTTCAATCACAATTCAATTACGGAGCGTCCACACAGCAGCGTTAAAAAAATCTTGGAGGTGGGCGTATCTGAAGCTTGAGGATTTTTTGCGAGCAAGGCACCAACAACCAATCACATGAATCTCCCGCCCGCGACATACGAAGCAAAAAAGCCCGAAGTAAACTGGATATAAACTCCCCAAACAGGCGAAAACATACCACTGTCTCTGCCACCTCCCTCCATGCCTGGCTCCTCCGGTTTGTATCCCGGTAGGTAAATAGGGACTGGTCATAAAGCACCGGGTGATTCCCTACCGCTAATTTCTCCTCCATGTTTTGGAATATGAGGAAATGACCTGCGGTCTGTCTCTCCCAGCATACACGCGGTTTGATTGGCTAGCGCTTGAACTGTCAGATTTGCGTACACGGGATTTGATTGGCTGACGCTTCCACCTCAGCTTCCAAAGTTGAACATTGTTCAACTTTGAATCCTGAGATGCCTGGAAATCTCCGCTCTGCTTCCCACAATGCAGTTCGGCGAAAAGTGAGGCAAAGTGACGTCACCCCATTCAAAGTGAATGGGCAGAAGCGTTTCAAGATTTTTTAACGCTGCTGTGTGGACGCTCCGTTACAGTTTTTCTCGATTGCTAACACACTAAAATTATACATAAAGCACAATTATTTTAACTGACACTCAAAGAGCAAAACATCGGCTCAAATCTCCAAAACACGTTTTCAGCTTTTCACACAATTTGCAAATCAACATGGCACTTTTTGCAAACCACTGCACACGTTTCTCCACGTGAGACACAGGCATCTGACATGAAGTCACGTGTTAGCTGGTTTAAAACACTGATATTCAAAATGCCTCACACATGGACCAATGATCAAGAAACCTGACCAAACACCTGATAGCATCATTGTTGGCTCATCAATCAGGATGTCAGCACTATAAAAAGACCACAGGTGAGAGGAGGAAGAGTACTCCGCTAAGCTAAAGGTGGCTAATGTTGGGCGTGATGACGTTTAGTCGTCTCATTTAGACACTTGTTGGCAACTGTCGTTTTTAAATTCTCCAGTGGGGTATTTACTGACGTATTTACTTCAGCGTGTGTCAAAGAAAGAGCTTACTTCATGCATTTAACAACACTTGCAAACAAAAAATGTTGACTACAAGGAAAGGGAACCTCCAGTAGTAAAACACACTCATTCCAGGGTTTGAGGACTCATTCCTGCACCACTCTTTTCTTCCCTTATGACACCAGTGTTTTTCTCACCTGTGGGGTATTTTATGCCGCCGAGCAAAACATAAAAATCTCTTCAGCTTGTGTTCACCACAGACCTTATTTCAGGCATTTCACAACAACACTTTCATAAAAAATGTTGGCTACAAGAAAAGGGAACCAGAAGTAGTAAAATGCTAACTCATTCCCAGGTATTTCGGACTCATTCCTGCAGGCATGAGTGTATTTTCTCACCTGTTTGGTCCCCCCAGCAGAGTGAGGGCCATCTGACTGGAACACACCCCGATGGTTTCCAGCCGGCGCTCCACAGACAGACCCCAGCGCTCTGCAGACGCTAACAAACGCTTATGAAGGTCGAAGGTCACGCTGGGAACCACCAGGCCTGAGTCTGCAGGGGAAACGCAAGAAGAGGGGGCGTCTTTAGATTCAAAGATTCAAACTCAAAAGGTTTTATTGTCGTATGCACAAAGCTACAGTGTAGAAATGGCAATGAAATTCTTCTGACCTGAGCTCCTCCAACAATGCAACATATATAATAAAATAGTGGCTATTTCCTAAACGATTAATCAAGTATTCATAATTGTCTGTATTTTTATTTCTACTATCGATCCCAGTTTCTCAAATTCTCTCAAAATGTGGATTTCTCAGACTAAAATCAAAAGATATTCACTGTGATCTGATATAAAACCCAGTGAACAGCAACTTTTTTTACAAAAAATAGCAGTTTCCTTAATGATTAATACATTATCATGATATTTGTCGGTATTTATTTTGCCTAGCGTCGATCCCAGTTTCTCAATTTCAATCGAAATGTGGATTTCTCAAGCAAAAATCAACAATTGAGCTCCTCCAACAATGCAACATATGTAATAAAATACAAAATGGTGCAAAAACTCTATATACGTGTAAATAAAATATGATATGTACAAGAACAGAATATAAAATGAAATAATGTACATTAAGACAGAATTAAATACGGTTAGTTGCGGTGATAACTATTTATATAAATAAGTATTTCCAGAGGATGATTTAGTGGCGTATAAAAACATCATCAGAATGTCTCCACTAACAATAAACTGTCAATAGCATTCCTGCACCGTCGTCTCGTGCCAAAACAAACGTGAATGACTTGCTGGTTCAATGTAGGCCACTGGTAACTTTCCCATACAAATTAGCCATGTAACATTGTTGATCTTAAGAGAAGCCACCGCCCACGCCACGTGTTCAACCTGAATGAGAATCCTTCATGAGTAAAGTGGCAGCTGTTTGATTGTTGTGACCAACTTTGGATCCATTTTCCACGCCTTCATTGAAATGTGTCACAAACATACAGAGTAGGTGCAATGAAACCTCTCCAGAGAGGACACATCCTTTACTCAAGTAGAAGTACACACATCCTTTACTCAAGTAGAAGTACACGCATCCTTTACTCAAGTAGAAGTACACGCATCCTTTACTCAAGAAGAAGTACACGCATCCTTTACTCAAGTAGAAGTACACGCATCCTTTACTCAAGAAGAAGTACACGCATCCTTTACTCAAGTAGAAGTACACGCATCCTTTACTCAAGAAGAAGTACACGCATCCTTTACTCAAGTAGAAGTACACGCATCCTTTACTCAAGAAGAAGTACACACATCCTTTATCAAGTAGAAGTACACGCATCCTTTACTCAAGTAGAAGTACACGCATCCTTACTCAAGTAGAAGTACACGCATCCTTTACTCAAGTAGAAGTACACGCATCCTTTACTCAAGTAGAAGTACACGCATCCTTTACTCAAGTAGAAGTACACGCATCCTTTACTCAAGTAGAAGTACACGCATCCTTTACTCAAGTAGAAGTACACGCATCCTTTACTCAAGTAGAAGTACACGCATCCTTTACTCAAGTAGAAGTACACGCATCCTTTACTCAAGTAGAAGTACACGCATCCTTTACTCAAGTAGAAGTACACGCATCCTTTACCCAAGTAGAAGTACACGCATCCTTTACCCAAGTAGAAGTACACGCATCCTTTACTCAAGTAGAAGTACACGCATCCTTTACTCAAGTAGAAGTACACGCATCCTTTACTCAAGTAGAAGTACACGCATCCTTTACTCAAGTAGAAGTACACGCATCCTTTACTCAAGTAGAAGTACACGCATCCTTTACTCAAGTAGAAGTACACGCATCCTTTACTCAAGAAGAAGTACACACATCCTTTACTCAAGTAGAAGTACACACATCCTTTACTCAAGTAGAAGTACACACATCCTTTACTCAAGAAGTACACACATCCTTTACTCAAGTAGAAGTACACGCATCCTTTACTCAAGAAGTACACGCATCCTTTACTCAAGTAGAAGTACACGCATCCTTTACTCAAGTAGAAGTACACGCATCCTTTACTCAAGTAGAAGTACACACATCCTTTACTCAAGAAGTACACAAATCTTTACTCAAGTAGAAGTACACGCATCCTTTACTCAAGTAGAAGTACACACATCCTTTACTCAAGAAGTACACACATCCTTTACTCAAGTAGAAGTACACGCATCCTTTACTCAAGAAGTACACGCATCCTTTACTCAAGTAGAAGTACACGCATCCTTTACTCAAGAAGAAGTACACACATCCTTTACTCAAGTAGAAGTACACACATCCTTTACTCAAGAAGTACACACATCCTTTACTCAAGTAGAAGTACACGCATCCTTTACTCAAGTAGAAGTACACGCATCCTTTACTCAAGTAGAAGTACACGCATCCTTTACTCAAGTAGAAGTACACGCATCCTTTACTCAAGTAGAAGTACACACATCCTTTACTCAAGTAGAAGTACACGCATCCTTTACTCAAGTAGAAGTACACGCATCCTTTACTCAAGTAGAAGTACACGCATCCTTTACTCAAGTAGAAGTACACACATCCTTTACTCAAGTAGAAGTACACGCATCCTTACTCAAGTAGAAGTACACACATCCTTTACTCAAGTAGAAGTACACGCATCCTTTACTCAAGTAGAAGTACACACATCCTTTACTCAAGTAGAAGTACACGCATCCTTTACTCAAGTAGAAGTACACGCATCCTTTACTCAAGTAGAAGTACACGCATCCTTTACTCAAGTAGAAGTACACACATCCTGTACTCAAGTAGAAGTACAGAAGTATGGGCTTTGAAATGTACTTCAGTAAAAAGTACCCATAACTAGCAGCTGTTTTAAAGAGTACCTGACCTCCCTTTATATTAATAGAACAATAATGTCATTGTTAGCTAATGAATGTTTCCATGCTGAACAACGGCAACATGACAACGTTTTCATTGGTCCCTCTTCTTTAGAGAAGACCAGGAAATGATGGATACCTTTTGGCTCCTGAAATGTAAATGCTTGACATATGTCATATGGGGGGCTGTGGCTCAGTGGGTAGTGTGCTGGACCTCGAATCAGGGGATAGCAAGTTCGAGTCCCACTGCAGTCAGCATGTCGTTGTGTCCCTGAGACACTTCACCCCAAAGTGCTCCAGTGGGGATTGTCCACAGTACTGAGTATGTAAGTGGCTTTGGATAAAAGCGTCTAACAAGTGACATGTAATGTAATAATAATGTAATGTCTCTGTTAAACACACACGAGACTAAAAATACAATTTAACAAATGCAATCAGAGTATATGTTTTAAATGATTATATAATCAGATTGCAGAGTGACACAGTTTCGTATGAAGATGTTTTAGGTGTGATTCAGTAAGAAACATGTCAGATCATTTCAATGGTTACAGGTGTGCAAAAGGACAGATATGCGTATGAATAACCTTCATCTTCAGTTCACTTTGGACACATTTCCCCAGATGATATGCTTCTTCCTCATTCTTGGTTTCAAAAAAGTGTGATTTGGCCATTTTTAGATGTAGGCGTAAAACAAATATACCTCATGTCATCTTTCTCCCATTACTAAAATACCACTGTGTTTTACAACCCAGCACATAAACGCTCAGGAAAGCAACATGAAAACAGGTGTTTTTGGTAAAGTCATGCATTTATAGGGACCTTATGTGAGGAACACTGCAAAGGAAATGTCTTTTAGGTGCTGTTCAACTCACTAACCATAAGAGTTACAGGTAACCTTTCCTCTAAATAAACCAACCTTGCTCTCACACAATAGTATACATACTCTATAAACTAAACAATGGATGACTTCCTTTCATGATGTCCCAGAACTGTCAATTGCAAGAGAATCATTAGAGGTTATAAAAATAGCTGCTGACTTGTTGAGTGATAACCCTCATGTATTGCCCAACAATTATTTGCATATACTGACTTCAGGAAGGACGAGGAGGAGAGGGTTCACTGCCAACTTGGTGCACAATGAAATACAATGTGTGTGAAAAGGTCAGAACACACTTCCTGGGGGAAAGTGGTGCAGTACAAATACTTTGTTACTGTACTTAAGTACATCTTTCTGGTATCAGTACTTTACTCCACTACTTATTTCTCTGACGACTTTTTACTTTGACTTCTTACATGTTGAACACAAATACCTGTACTTTCTACTTCTTACATTTTGAACACAAATACCTGTACTTTCTACTTCTTACATGTTGAACTCAAATACTTGTACTTTCTACTTCTTACACTTTGAACCCAAATACCTGTACTTTCTACTTCTTACATTTTGAACACAAATACCTGTACTTTCTACTTCTTACATGTTGAACTCAAATACTTGTACTTTCTACTTCTTACACTTTGAACCCAAATACCTGTACTTTCTACTTCTTACATTTTGAACACAAATACCTGTACTTTCTACTTCTTACATGTTGAACCCAAATACCTGTACTTTCTACTTCTTACATGTTGAACCCAAATACCTGTACTTTCTACTTCTTACATGTTGAACCCAAATACCTGTACTTTCTACTTCTTACATGTTGAACCCAAATACCTGTACTTTCTACTTCTTACATGTTGAACCCAAATACCTGTACTTTCTACTTCTTACATGTTGAACACAAATACCTGTACTTTCTACTTCTTACATTTTGAACACAAATACCTGTACTTTCTACTTCTTACACGTTGAACTCAAATACCTGTACTTTCTACTTCTTACACTTTGAACCCAAATACCTGTACTTTCTACTTCTTACACGTTGAACTCAAATACCTGTACTTTCTACTTCTTACACTTTGAACCCAAATACCTGTACTTTCTACTTCTTACATGTTGAACTCAAATACCTGTACTTTCTACTTCTTACACGTTGAACTCAAATACCTGTACTTTCTACTTCTTACACTTTGAACCCAAATACCTGTACTTTCTACTTCTTACATGTTGAACTCAAATACCTGTACTTTCTACTTCTTACATGTTGAACACAAATACCTGTACTTTCTACTT